ACTGTCAGATGACCCTGCAAAGCATGGAGCTCATAGCCCTCCCGCGCCTCCACACCATGGCGCTCAGCGGTGTTGCAGCCGTGGTTCCTGGTGAACGCGCCGGGCCCGCGGGGCCTGCGGGGTTGGCTGTGCGCGTGGGACGACGTGAGGATCATCGAGGCTGGGGCGGAGAAGCTGGTGGGCAACCTGACATGGCTAGGATGCTCCAAGGATTCTCCTTTGGTTTCAAAGTGTTTTTCCACACAGGCGCTCCAACACCTCTGAATTGTCGCGTAAGCAGAAGTGATGGAGGACAGGAGATCAGTAGGTGCAGGTGCGAAGTGAAGTGCCTTAGATGAAACCTTCATGGCTTCTCCTTGTGCCTGTCCTCATTCCAACTCCAGCTGACAGAACTCCAGAACTCCAGGCTACTGGTCCCCGAGCTTTGGAGCCATAGACGTGAGGAGCGAGAGAATCGGACGGATCGGCGGTGGGGTGAGGGTTGCGAGAAGGGAGGACTTGGATGGAAAAACCGGACAGTCGAGTCGATGAGAGTTTGGGGGGTTCCTGTCATTTTTGGCGGAGATAATCTCAGATGAACAGCGGCTGATAGAAGGGTGTCCTTGCGCACCATTTTGGCTTTGGCTCCTTTTCAGGGAGCACGTGTACGGCAGGTTTGGCATACTAAGTAACGGAACTTGTTACTTTCTTGAAGCACCTGGCAATGTGGAACCTGCAGCTTCATACGTGGCTGTGTGTGGCTATGGAACGTTGGGCCCATACCATTGTGGAAAATTATATTGATTTACTGTGGCAGCCCTTGCCATTTGGCGTGTTGACCTGTTGACCTAGACCAGCGAGAAAGCCAACAGCTTGATACAACCTGGGCGCCTGTCAGCCATCATCCGACAAAATCGGCATAAAGACCATTTGGGACTGTGATTTGATAGCACCAGGTATGCAAGAACCCAAAAGTTGGCCAGCTGGATGCCCTGCTGAGGATCCCAGTGGCCCATTGGTCTCCTTGCTTGACTGTGGCCCTGCTCTACCAGCTTCGCCTGCATGAACAACGCCGGCCACGCCGGCCAAGCTGCAGGGTGCAGGCCAGGGCCAGGGACGAGGAGCTGCCTCAAGGAGTGATTGAAGAAGCAGATGAAGAGCTTGAAGCTTTGAAACGGTGCCTGGGAAATGAAGTGTTTGAGTGCAGACTCGGGTGTGGGTGAAGAATGGTGGGCTGAAGCCCACAGCCGGGTCTAGGTCTGCACTTGATCGGCCCTGCCCTGGGCACGTGAAGGCAACCCGGCGGTCGATTCACCGACCATCCGACGGTTTAGTCACTCACCGACCATTTCACGACTGACACGGAGTGCGAACCCGAAGGGCCGTGATTTCATGTGATTTCCAATCATCATTTCCCTGTGGGGCTCCAAAGGGGTGATGATGTTCTAACAGCTGGAGCCCCTAGGAAAAACATGGTGCCATTTCCATCCATGTCCTATCCTTTACACGTGTAAATTCAATATCATGTTGTGGTTTTTCCCGTTCTATTTTTGTTGGCATGCCTCCTTCTTCTCCAAGGAGGCTGGAGCTAAAGCCTGGGCCCAAGCGGCTGCCGACCACGCCGCTCGGACCAGTTGTACAGTTGTACAGGGAGCTCTTTGGGTCTCATGAAGGGCAGGATAACTTGAGTTTGGGCACTTGAAGACACGCAAAGATATGGGTTTAACCGTTTACCTGTATTCATTAAACATTGTTTTATGTTTGCATGGATTCCACGAAGAAGATGATCGTTTCCGTCTTGTGCCTGTTCATAAACGGAACACAACATGGATCAATTTTCTGGAAGTGAAGGCAAGCATATTGTACGACAAGTAGGTATTTTTTTTGGTATGCTGCGTGGCTTGCCATACTTAGGGTTTGTCCGTTCTTACCTGGAACAGCCAGTAAACAATTATCACTATGTTTGGACAAGGCCTTTACTAACCATCATCATCCACTGTTACAGGTAATAGGATAGACCCAAGCCATACTCCCACAATTCCCATCTTCAGACCGAAAGAGCTCAAATCTCAAGTGAGATTGTGCTGACCAAATCTCGAGCGCACTCCAAAGAACTTCTGCACCATACACATGTAGTGCAGGGTAGCCTGAGTAACGCGGGCGGGTCTGAAATTGGAAACCAAGTTGACAAGTTGAAACGTCCCAGCATTTTGGTTTGAACTGGAAAAGAGTCGCCCCTGGTGAGACCTGAGGAAAGGCGTCCCCTTCGCGGGCTACAAGGGAGGCCCCTCGCCAGAGGAGCTTGAGGCGAGGACTGGACCGGGTGCGAGGACAAGTGCTGGACCGGACCCGCCAGTGTCTCGGTCCTTCCATGCATTGGAACTACGTGAAACATCCTGTCTTCCCTTGAAACATCATGTTTCTATACATGCCCCTAGGTTGTCTTGGGTTTTGTTCTGCCTAATTGAAGGCAGAACAAGTGCATACTGTAGAGAGGGTCAATATATTGTGAGAACCCCGCAGTGAAAAGACCCTTCAAAGACCCACAGCGAGACCAAGTTGTTCGCGGCATGTTGCTGCAATGAGACTGGGCATGGTCAATGAATGAATTGGGCTCACAAAATTCCTCGCCAAAAGTCAAACAGGCTTAGCAAAAGGCAAAAGGAAACCTCCTTTTGGTCCACGGAATGCTTGAGTCACCCAGGATTCCAGTCCTAAAGCGGTTGCATGCGGTTGCTATATACAGTATATATATATAGTTTTATTCACCATTTTTGCGGTCACTATAGCCACCATAGCAGTAGCAACCGGAGGAGGAGTTAGTAATAGTTAGTATATATATATATATATCCATAACCTTCCCACATCCACGGACATGTCTAAGTGGCACATGAAGCAAGTGCTGGGAAGCGCAAGGCCATGGTGGAGGAGGAGGTGCCGGAGCCCAGGCTGGCTCACTTCGTTCGCTCGTTTCACTCGCGAGTTCGTCACAAGATCGAGGCGGTGACTTAGCCTCCAAAAGAATTTGGAGTGACCTTCAACCAGATTGGGGCTGGGTGAGGTTGGCATCTGGGCGATACGACCCTCATCGAGATGACCCGCTGACGAAGGGAATCGCAACTGGGCTGAGAAGTTGGGTGGTTGGAGAAGAAGCAGCGGACATAGAACATGAACAAATACTTGAAGATCATGGGCCGGCCAGCCACTGAGAGCTAGCTCCCATGATCTCCCAGGCCCATGTAGGTACTTTGTTCCGGAAGAATTCGCCCAAAATTGTTTTGAAGGAACAAGGTGAGCAAGGACACTCCTAAGACAGGTCGGGTAAGTTGAGTCTTGCATATTTGCGTGGGCATTTTTTTGTCTCCAATGACCTTTTTATTTGTTCCTTTCCAAGAAAAAGAGGGTTTATATAAAAGAAAACACATTTTTTGCATATTTCGCGAAGTGCTTCTTTTTTGTTTGTGCCCTGTCAGATCCTCCTTAGACAGTGTCCTGAGACCTTTCTTTTTCGGCGCCCCAAAGGCGTCCAAAGCGCGTCTTTTTGCATCCAAAAGGCGTCTTTAAGCATCCGCACCGGACGCGTCCGGATAAAGATTCACTCTGTAACCTTTTTTGGAGTCCTCATCTCTGAAAACGTGCTTTTCGAGCAAAAATGCAAAAATCTTAGATCAACAACAAAAACGCAGACGCAGAAAAGGCAGGGCTTTGGAGACTCAAGGTAGTATACCATTGATATACCATGTAGATTCCAACCTGTTTCTCGCTTTCGGGACACGTCCCCCCCGGCAGCTCGCCAGCTCGACCGGGTTCAACGGTGAAGCTGCGTTTGAGCGACGGAGCCATCGGACCATGGGACAGAATCGACTCCAAGGCGGGAGGTTGCGGCCCAGTCTCCGTGGCAGACAGGGTGGCAGATACCCTCCGGCCCAGTCTCGATCTCAGGCGGCGATGGCGAAGACTGGGAAGAAGGTGGAGCATATGGTGTGCTGCCGTGGTTGCGGCATTCCACTGCAGACGCATGATCCAGACAATGTGGGATCTGCGCTTAGTTGAAGATGCCAAGTTGAAGATGTTAGGCAGATTTGAGATAGAACTTGTTCATAGTGTATCCCGCTGCAGGGGGAGGTCCACCCAGTAATTAGGCTCAAGCATCAAACGTAGGCTCACAGACTTGTGCCACTTCATGCATCGAAAGCCATGTGGATGAGGTTATGTACGCTTTGCGAGATACCTGGAGAAGTGGTCGCAGCGGCTGCACCGCAACGAGCTGTGCATTTGGCGGTTGGTCAAGGACCTAGGATCCACCAGATCCATTGGTCCAATGGGAGTCGGGAATGTCCAGTGAATCATCTACCAGGGCCTTCAAGGGGTGGTGAATGGACACCCCTTAACAGCTAAGGGGCTATAATTAGACACCCCTTGGAGGGTCCTGGTTCAGTATCAGGATGTTTTTTCCATGGCAGTTTTGGTACGCCACCAACTCCACGGCCAGTGGAGAATGGATCCTGTGGCCCTATGGATCCTTCAGAGGTTTTTCACCCTCACATCACATCTGTCAACAAACCGACCGAACGGGGCGCACGGGTCCTATGCCCATGATGCCCGTTCTCCACGGCCGACCCGAGGTAAGCTGCTTTGTTCGCGGTGCTTGCAGTTGGAGCAAGGAAACTTGGTCCCTGTGGTCAAGGACAGCGGATCCACGTTCGCTCCCCCACGGTCCGATCTCCACGGCCAAGTTCGCTGGGCATTTGGCGAGGGGAGACGTAGAGAGATGGCTAAGTAAATGACTCGGCCTGGACACCTCGGTTTCGGCTCTTGGAGCATCTTAGATCTACTAGTGCGCAGCAAACTTCTATCTTTCAGTTTAGCATTCATAAAGGCCACTGGACCTACCTTTCAGTTCAGGCTTTGAAGTGATGTCAATCACCAAGAAACCCGGCATCATTCACCAAGAAATCCAGTTACATTTCTTTTCCGTTGCGTTGTGTCCGTTTTCTCATCATTTTTGATGTCAGGAGACCATGGCAGAAGGTGAAGTGGGCTTTGGCGGTCAGGTGAAGTGAAAACGGTCGATTTTAAGATCGTGACTTTGGTCGCTTTTCGCTGGTCACGTCACTCTCCTCGTTCCGTTTGTCCTTCTTGAAGGTGTCTTCACGTCTGTTGTTTTCACTTCTGTTTTCAGTACGATTGCCTTCAGTATCCTTCAGTTCAGTTTTTCACCCTGGAAACGGATGGCTTTTCTCCTGTGCAGTTGCGAAGTCGTTCTCCCACCTCGAAACGGGCCCGTTAGGGCCCTAAGGGCCATCTGTGTGTTGTTCCTCGAAGCTCGAAGCTTCATTCTTTGTTGCCGAGGTTTGCCCCAAACATTTTGTTGAAAGATTTAAAGCCGAGAGAGTCTAGTTCGCATTTTCTTGAATAAATCATAAATCTAATCAATTTCCATGATATGTCCTTTGGACAATTCTGACACAATCTAGACCATCTAATCTGAATTCACAAAAATGAGAGGAGCTGTTTGCCTGGTAGAAACAACATATTCAACACGCTTTTTACATACATGCTGCACAAAGGGTCTTGACTGACAAAAAACACGTGCGTGCAACGAGGGAAGAGACATGAAGAGACTGGGGAAGGGGTCAAGCCTTGGATATGAGCGATGGCAAGAGTTCATCCAAGGAAGACTTTTATACATGGGTGTGCTTGACTTGGCTTTGGATCAGACAACGCCGCACAACACCCTGTTCTTGACTCATTGTCAAGATAGGTCAAGATCAAACCTCATCTCTGAAAAGGGGCTCTTCAGAACCCACACCAGGTAGGGCCGGGGGAAACGACAAACGTGGCCTTCCAAGCCTTGCACCGGTGCCACCGGTGCTTCTGCTCCAGGTGGTCCCGGCAGAGGTCTTGGCCCAGCAGCTGGCCACGATCCGCCGCAGGCAATGCCTGGTGGTGCCGCTCGGAGGGATCGTTGCCACAGGCGCAGCGCAAAGCCGGGGCCTTCTTTGGGCGATATAATATGGCCACAGTTTATACATAACATATATACATACACATACGGCCATAGTATCATAGGCACATGATTGTTCGGGGTCCCTACTTGTCACATTTTGTGAGGCACCTGGATGGTGAGCTGGGGGAGATCATCCAATCTTTGAGTCGACAATTGCAGGCCTCCAAATGCAGTCGCACTTTTTGAAGCGCTTCCCTTCTTCAAACATTCTAAAAGCACCTGAATGTGGACGTGCAGATTTCTGGGGGAGCCACGGTCTAAGACCTATAGGCTCTGTCAAAAATACACCAGTTTTCCAGTGTGGTCCCACTGGAGCAGTTCCACATGCAGGTGTTTTGCAATTGGTCCATCAACTGCTGGAACTTCGTTTCAGGAAGTTCGGCCCCTTCCATCGGTTCGGCGAGGAGCCTGGCGTCTCCTGTTCCCGAGGTATGTGGTGGATGTACTGGACTTCAATGGGTCCTTCATTCGTGGCTGGGACGGGTGAGCTGGATGGTGGTCGTTTCGATTGCATGGACGGGAGAAGAGAGCTCTTCTTTCAGGGCCCTGTGCAGACAGGAAGGAGGGAGTGAAGGAAGGAGACAAGGAGAGGAGGGAAGGAAAAAGATGGAAACCCTCGTGGCGGCTGCATGCCCTCCAGCCTATTTCAACCCGGATGCCTTCTCGGAAACCAGTCAAGACAAGCAGGACAGATGCTGCAGACCAATCTGCATGTTGTTGCTATTCGCTAAGAGACTCTTTTGCCCTGCGGCGTCCGGTCCTTTTTCTTTTCCACAAATTTTGGTAGTTTCGATATGTTTCGATCCTCTTGTTCTTTTGCTTTTGTTTTTCCATGTGCTTTCATATCCTCTACTCCGTTTCTTTCCGCGTGTCCAATCAATTCGATACCCCAAGCAGTGAATTGGTCCGTCCAATTGGTGTGAGAGGAGCAAACTGGCCAAACCGGTGAAATGTTCACAATAGAGGAAGAGGGGTTCATTCGCTGGTTGGAAGATCAAGAGCAGTTTGGACTTCTGATGTATAGCCATGGCTGTGGGCATATGGCACAAGGATCGAAGAGCGGGCCTGATTGTCGTGTAAGCGGGTCCAATCACAAGCAGAGGCCGGAGATCAGGCGAACCTGAGCACTGAGCACCTGGTGATGACTTATTCCCGAAGTCGCGCAGATGATTACACTCCGGAACACTTCACATTGACCCTGACAATGCCCCCCTGGAAGATTGTTTTCCTCTACCAACCAGTGGTTTTCAGGGTCCATGTTAGTCTTCCAGGGTGTACTTGTAGAGCACCCAAACAAACACATGGCAGGCAAATCGCAGGCAGGATGCAAGATCAAACGTTCCTCTTTAGATGGGGACTGGACTGGACACGACCAGTTGCTAAAGATTTGCGGCGCTTCTGCAAATCCTAAGTCCCCAGTGCGACACCAACCCATTTTTATCTCGCTACACTCCTCGAAATAATCAAATCGGAAAACCACCTGTTTGCTTGCAATTAGAACAACATGGTCATCCAAGGGGCCATTTTGCACTCCGATGTCATGTTTGAGTGTCTCGCCGCTTTCCTCCGTAACACGACCCAAGTCACACGTGCACGAAGCCGTCACACGAAGCCGTTCGTAAGCCGTCGGACGTAAGGCAGGATTCGAGAAGTGGTCGGCCGCAATCCCGTGATCATTGTTGGAACCAAGATTGCACCTTGGTCGGATCCCTCGGTTCGGCCTCGACTTTGTTGGCAAAGAACGGGATGAAGAAGATTGAAGAAGCACCGACTTTTAGAAGTTTAGGGAAGAATAGAATAGATGGATAGATGAGGGGGCCCTTCGAGTGAGGATGGTGGAAGAGAAATGAATTCAAACCAGTCGGGGTGACGCTTTTCTTGATGCGTTTGTGCTCTTCGACAGTCCGACGCCGGTGTGTCCACTCCACCCGTCCAGTGTCCAGGACTTGCTTCCACCGAAGACGAATATGGAACTGGCCACTCGGCGAATGGCGAAGCGTATGCAGTTCTGCGAGGTCTTCCATGTGCTATTGTGATTCTTCTGTGATTTGCTCGCCCTGTCATCAAGCTCCAAGCCAGGTCCAAAAACACTTCGGGTGTGAGTTTCGGGTTCCTGAGGTCAATCGCTGGCTGCTGCACCTGTTGCGCAAGAAGAAGTTGCGTGTCCTTGAGGTCCAACGGGGGGGCATTATCCAGACAGGTGGGTGAAGAAGGCTTTGACAATCGAGTGGTTCCTGGGCTTTCTTTGTACCAAACGAGTGAGTAACTCCTCCATGTGTTTGACACCCATTTCAAGTATTAGATGAGGCGGGCAGGGTGCGAAAGAACACCGGTGCTGCTCAAACACCAGGTGCAATTGGTCAGCAACGAGACCGGGAAGGGCATCAACTATGCCGTGAATGCTATTATCCAGCACAGATCTGGCATGGATGTGTGGCCTTCTCAGACCTGGTGCTGAGAACCAAGGGATGGACATCTAAGATCTCCAGTGGAAGCTTCTGGGGTGTGAACGGCTGGTGTTACGAGAGAGGTCCAGTCTTTGATATGAAGCTTTTCAATGCGCGAGAACATGGCCAACCCGCCTCTCTAGCTCCTGTGCCCATTTTTGGCATGTTAGCCGTTGGCCCTTCCGCACCTTCCCCCCCCCCACAACACCCCCGACCGCACGACCCCTCTCAGTTTCGTGGTGGGCGCGGCCAATGCCGGGAAGTCCGCCTTCATCCGGCGACTTTTGGACCGGTTGGAGGTGAAGTTCCCTCAGGGACAGGTGGAGAAGTGTGGCTTGGCGAAGGTGGTGGCTAGACTGCTAGACTGCAGGTTGGAACCCCAATTCGGCGGCTCCATGTCGTGGTGTTGAACTGTGTCGACCGTCGTGTGTGGCGGTTTTACTGTTGGTCTTTGGGTCCGACCTGTGTCGGTTTGTGAGTCGGTTCGTGTGCTTCCTTTGTTTTTGGCAGAGGGGATGGTGAGAAGGAAGCAGAAACATGCAGAAATGCAGGAACACATGATCGAGCACGTCCATGTGCTGCATGTTTTGCATCCAGCTCGAGATCAGCTCACTACCCTTGAGAGAAGGTCCAAGAACAAGCATTTAATTATCAAACTATATAGATTGATCGGGCTCAAGAATCCAATTGAGAGATAAAAACCGGCTGTGAGGTTTCTTGAGGGACAACCAGGGTTTCATTTGGAGTGCTCACCCACTCCCTCGCATCCATGTGCGATGCACGGCTTTCACACCGTCACCGGACGGTCGGTCCTACCGGTCGGTCCGTAGCGTAGCTTAACGGTCGGCCTTTCTCCATGGTGCCAGCAACGGTGGATGAATCCTCCACATGGGGTAGCTACCGGGTAGCACCATTGAGCGTTCAGGGTAGCACCATTGAGGCTGATGGCCCTGATGGTGATCAATGTGCAGTCGTCTCAGAGTAGATGGCACAACCTTCAAGATGTCTTTGACATGGGGGGTCTCTAAGAACCACCTATATAACTGGGGGGCCCTTGCGTCATCTATTCTAAGACGGTCATGTTCTTGGCGACGTCGAGTCGAGTCCAGGCGAGCGGCCCTTGGTCTCAAAGACACCCGGGACGACCTTGGGCCCCTCGGACCGACAGCGGGCCTCGAGGAGGGACCGACCGCGACATCTCACCGTGGGCGGAAGGAAGGTGTAGCTTTTTTTGCTCCTAGTAGTAAGGCCAGGAGCTACTAGTAGCTTCTTGTTACTAGTAGCGATGCCCTTTGCTCCTTGTGCCTTCTTGCTCCTACCCCCCCCCCCCGTGGGCGGAAGGAAAGGTGACTTCGCGGGTGGTCTCGATGTCAAATCTGTTGGGCTAGTGTATCATGGCGCGTGTCGGATGGATAGGAACCCGCCCATGGCGCGTTTCCTTCAACCACTGGTTTCCTTCAACCTGTCCGAGCTCGGGAGTTCATGTAGAGTCGTACCCGTCACATCCTCTCCGCACTCGGGTCCCGAGGCCTCATCCAGCTGAGGGCCTTTCGCCGCTCCGCCAACAGTCCAGTCTTCGCCTCGCTCTTTGACACTCCAGGCGAAGACGTTTGTCACTGCACCACACACTATGCACGACAAGTTTATGAATCAAACCTCCGGTTGGGAGAGGTTTTACGCGTTTTTTTGCAGGGTTTACCTGGATTGACGATCGACGGGTGCTGGGGCATGAAGGGAAGGGGAAGTGTGAGAGGTGCGGAGTTCTAGGGATTTGTGTGGTGGGTGCGGGGGGTCGTCAGGTTTGAATATCATGTGCATGGTATTCAAGGCTTTGCAGTGCTGTCATTTAACATCAGCCCTCTCCGGACTGAACTATGTGGGCGCTTCAAGGGCGGGTGTGAGATGCAGCAGACAGAAGTCTGAACTTCATTGTTTGCTGTGTGTTTAGCGATGTCAAGTGAGCCTGTCCCAGTTTTGAGGTGTTCACCAGCCCAACAGCATGCAAAACCTGCTGGACATCAAGGACTACAACTATGTGCAGCCCACCAGGTGCCAAACCAGCCGTGATTTCGTGGGTCTTTGGTGCATGATAGTCGCTTGACTGGGCCCGTCTTTGGGCTGCACCGAGGCACTTCGCGGTGCATACGGTGACGCCTGCCAAGGATGTGCTGGCCGAGCTTGAGGCAGGTCGTTTGACCGGAACCGGATGGATGGACCGGGTGGACTTTGATCTTTTTCCTCACCGGTCAGGTGAGTCTTGTTAGATTTTAGAACTCACGTCGAAGTGAAGTCATTTCTGGTGTTGGGATCGTGTTGCATTCACTTCATCCTTTGGCCCCTGTTTTTTCATGCCCTGGGGCTCCCGGATGCCCATCCCCTCACGCCCCACGTGAGGTGGGCAGGTGGGGGCGATTCTAGCATTCGAGCAGGCGAGTGACGAGCCCGTCTCGGAGGAGTCCTTGAAGCCGCCTTGCCTTGGGTGGGTGATCTGGGGTCATCCCGGGGAGAAAAAGGGGCTCAGGTCTTGTAACATCCCGGAAGAGCGCGTGGAGTGGTTCCAACATGTTCCAACATGTTCTAACGATCTACAGTAATTCATATGTCTATCGGATGTCGCATTTTTTGGGCCTTTGGTCCAATGTGACAGAGATCGGCCCCCCCACCAGACACAAACACACGCAACCTCTCAGAACGACCTCTCAGATGTGGCCATTTTCAAGCCTTTCACGGAGTCACGGCGTCAGGCGGTTTGGTCCATCTAAGGCGTTGGTTGGGCCGCTCCGTACGGTATTTGTGGGGCTTCCCCAACCAAAAGCCGGTCGTGGCTGTGGAGGCACGCGTTTGACCGCGAAGCCGCGGCAGTTCCGGTCCGGTCATTCGGCAGCTTTGTTGATGTCGACGGAACTGGGGAGTGGTGAATTACATAAAGCAGACAGGATTCAAAAGGGACAAACATTTTAGTGCTCTGTCACGCACGTGGCCTACTGCACGCTTAAGACAGGCCAACTAAATTGCTCGACACTTGGTGATATCATCGTCGTGCCAATGTTGCACCTGACCTGAAGTCGTTGCCGCAATTCCTGCAAGAACCTATCAACGTTTTCCATTTTAAAGAGCATGGTTTCCAGATAGAAGAAAGTCAAGGAAAATCAACATTGCAACATTGGCAGTCAGTGCCAAAAAGTCAAAGGTAAAGAAGTCAATTCAGAAGGTTTCAGAAAGTCAAAAAAAGGTCAACTGCCCCAAGGTCGACCTTTTTTCCCCAACTACTTTAACCCTTATACTTTTTTGATTGGCTTTCCAGTTCTGATGTCTTTTTGGTATTTTTTGATCCCTTTTTAACTTGTCCATTTGATATGTTCTTTGACCTTTTGAAGAGGCTGTCCTGGCCTTGCCATATGACAGATTTTTACAAATAGAGCATGTTGGGCAATGATCCACCGGTCCCGGGTGGATCTCGCCACGTCCAGTGCTGCGGTGCGGTGGCCAGGTCTTTCCTCCAATTAGTGCTATGCTGAAGCTGTCCTTTGTGGGCGTTCATAACTTAGCCACTTGGGTGGAGCTGAAAGTGACCCGAAAGTGGTCCAATCCCACTGCGAACTCCAAACCATGGCGAAACTCCTCCAAAACCACTGGCTGAATGGAGCGTCGATTGCCATGGCTCCATAGTCCATTTTCATGTGAATGCTGAGTGTTTGTGAATCATGGTGAAACTATGGCCGTGACGACCATGTTTGGACATATATTTGATTTGTGTAACGTCACCACTTCTCCTTGTCCAAATGCGCCCTAACCGCACCACCACGGCTGTGGTCTGAGGCGATCACCTGCGAGGCCAACGTGCCAGGCGCCGGCGAAGGCGGCCGCGGCTATCCGGCGCCACCGGAGGAGATGGAGTTGTCGCAGATCTGTGGGGGCGCCTGGGGGGGTGGCCTTTAGGCATCTTTAGGCTGCCTGGCTGGGAGGGGCTTCGAGATGAAGGGATTGATGAGTGAGAGTGGTGAGACTCCACCTGAGCACTTCTTCCTTTCGATCACTGAGCGGACTGCGAACATGCTCCTTTTGGCCTTTGATTGGGCCTAAATGAGGCCAGTGGATCGGTTTGGCTGGGATTAGGTTTGGTGGCCAATTCTGAGGATGCTCACAAAGCTCAAATAGATACAGTAGAGGAGTTCATTTGCAGACCAAGTGGCAACAGGTCGGAGCCCCTGGGCTTTATCGTGTGCTATGGAGCCCTCCAGAAAGCCACAACCACTCCAGGAACCTCTGAGTGCTCTTCTCTCAGGCTATGTGAAGACCCCCGATGCTTTGAGCTTGGATGGGAACGTGGCCTGCGACCTTTCTTTGACAGGCGCGGGCAGCTGGCGCATGCTGACGCTGGCGTCATAGCAAAAGAAGCCTTCACCTGTTAGAAGACAGTGGTCTTCCCATGTCTTAACCCACTGTGAGGTCTTCTTTTGTGACTCCAGCTCGAGCGAAGGAAGACTGAAGCTACCACCTCAAGGAGCACCATGTTCATGTTCACAGTAGCGAGGCTGCATTTCGATCTATATAATTACTCTGAGCAGCAGTCTCATTACGGGTGCAAGCTCCCGAACTTCAACGTCCCATGGTTGAACGATTTGGTCTTGCACAGATGGGCAGCCCCAGGCTATATAGGCCCACACAGACGGTCGCCAATTGGAAGAAGCTGATATGCGACTCGTTGTGGCGGGTTGGATTTTGTTGGAGTAGACCACCCCAACCAACTTCACATATAAAAGACCTCACTCTCATTTATTTCATCACATAATCACATGCCATCACCATTCACCATCCCTTTTCATCTCTCCTTCTTACCGCAGCCATGCACCCCCGCCATGCACTGCCCCCAAAGCCACCACCAGCAGCTTGGCTTTGGGGTTTTCACCGGCGCAGTCCAAACGCCCAACCGCGCGCGCCAGGCTTCGGTTGGGTGGCGGTCTCCTTCTGCGCGCTGACTCCGTCAGCTGAAGGTCGACCGATGGAGCGTTCCAAAGTGACGCTCCGCCGCTGGGATCTTTTGACGTACGGAGACGCCGTGCGGAGACGCCGTGGGAGATCGATCGGAGATTTGTTGCTTCAGGGAGATCGATCGTGAGAGGTCAGAGAAAGTGAGGAGAGATACAGTGCAAACGCAGATAGGCATGTGAAGCGAAGCTCTTGGACATAGTGAGATGTTACATATTCCACAAATGGAAGCACATATCCGATATATTCTGATATCACAAGATTTTATAATATATTTTTATTAATAATAATTGTAATTCATTGACAGTTAGATTATTTTCTGCAATATTCTGCACATTTTAGAAATTATAGTCCCTCTGGGGTCTATACTAGATGAATGCACCCAGATCTTCAGTTTGAGGTTCAAGCCTTGCCGAATCACAGAGCCCCCTCGTGCAGACATACCCTTGCCCTCCGATCCGCAACGAGGAATCTACGGCCCCAAGCGCCTGAAAGTGGTGCAGAATGAGCTTCTTGGTCTGAAATGGCGATGGGCGGCCTCGCTGGAAAAAAGACCTTTTTGTTTGGGCCTCGCCAGAAAGCGGTGCTCCGTTGTGGGAGGGTGCCGAGGTTCCACAAAAGACAATGAGAACCCTTGATATTACAGTAGCAGATAATATTATATATAATAGTAGAATAGAGGAAATATATGAGTCAGTCTATTGGATGTTCAATTCCCTCTGGCAGTTTTTGATTTCATGTTAGTCCAAGGGGGGGTAAGCCTTCTCCCCACTTTGCAAGAAATGAAGCGGAAAGAATATGCTCGACAGACAGTCATGTGCAGATGGAAAATCATGGGGCAAGAGATCTGGCGCGATGCTATTGGAAATTGCGCGTGAATTCTTGAAGTTGTAACATGTTGTAACGCTTTTCTCCAGTTCGCAATGTCACTTCATCATCCTCATCCCCGATCGAAGGGGTTCACCCATGCTCCACCCTTTGAGTCATTGACGAGACAGACCGACGAAGGTCTGTCGCTTGTTTGGACGGCCTTGGCGGACCTCAGGTATCCAATGCCGGTGGCCGGGCTGCCGGGGGTTGTTCCCGCCCCGCCGGAAGAGGAGCTTGAAGAGGACGGAGGTTCCATGGAGTCGCCGTTTGGAAAGAGAGTGGCCGGGATTCGACATGGACATCATATAGCCATTTGGAGGTGGGCCAAAATGTTTTCCAACTGAAAAAGTATGCATTTTGGCTCAACAAGTCTGCCGCCGTTCATGTTGATGCCCAAGTCCTGTCGTGCTACTGGTGTGTCAAGAGGACATTGCAGCTAGATGCGAGTGGGACAAGATGGGACCTCCATAGGCTCCAGGGGGTAGGTCCGTGATGCACCCTTGTGGTTGAGCCAGGAGGATCCAACCTAGGTGGGCTGTGAAGTACAGATAGGATCAGATAGGAGCATAATGAATTACTGTAGACTGATAGATAGATAGATAGATAGATAGAGATAGATAGATAGATAGATAGATAGATAGAGATAGATAGATAAATAGATAGATAAATAGATAGACAGGTAGGTAGATAGGTAGATAGATAGATAGAACATGATAGAACGATACATAAATATGTGTGATAGTGCGATATTCTATATACCAGGTGTGGAATTCTCAAGGCTTCTAAGAATTCCGTCCAGCGATCTCCAGGATTCCGCCGATGTATTGGACGAGGAGGCTCCACGACAGGCGGCATTGGCGGCAGCCGACCGACGTGGTCGGTCTGCGCGGGTGGAAACAGGTTGGTTGACACATAGCTTCACACCACATTCCGTCTCAGACAGGTATGATGAGATGTAGCGTTGTTTTTTTTTGGCAGGGTTTTGGCATGGTTTGGGGGTTACTGCTGGATCCAGAATAGTTCTGTTTTCATCTTCTGACATTGGCCATGCTTAGGGCCAGTGCAGCCCAAGAACCCCCGAGTAGTCGTTGCAGCAACGCGGTTCCGCTGTTGAATCTGACACCGGAGATGTGGTAGAGACCTTGAGCTGAAAACCCCACCGAGACCATCGTTCCTCCAATCGAGCTGAAAAGACCAGTCGCACCGTGGAGTCGATGGCCACCAGGTGCTGTCGCAGCCTTGGATGGAGGGCCTGGGTCAATCGGTCGGCCTCATGACGGCGGCACCGGGGGGGCGGCACAGGCGCCGACAAGGCAGAACACGACGTGGGTGGGGGGTTCGGGAATTACGATTGCGAGGATTCTGCTGAGTTGTTGAATCCATGTCAAGTCAAGGAGTTGTTTCCGATGCTTGATCAGAAAATATCAGAAAACATGATGTAGCATGATGTAGCTACAGTAGCCGGAGTGCATGTGTAGCCATTTGGCATCTTACCCCGCTATTCCGGGGTCCCAGCTTGGCCTGGGGACAATGGATTGAACGGATCGGCGCCGAGATGATTTGCAGTTCACAGCGAATCTAAAACCACACAGGGTTAGGAAGGGATTGGAAACAAATAGGTGAAACACCTGCGAATGGTCACCACTAAATGTCACTAAATTTCAAGCAAGGAAAAGATCACAAGGTCAAACTAAGTTGTGCCTTGGGGTTGCGGATGCGAGTGTGCGCGCGTGTGTGATTCTTGCGCATGGAGGATGAAGAAGCTGCCATTGAAGTGAGCACAGTGATGCCGAAGCAGCCAAAGCTCATCGATCTTCAGCCTGAAGTTGGATCACAGCTTTCTAGCCTGAACTTTTGCAGGTTCAGTGTGCATGATCGCAGTCTAGAGTCTAAACCACCCAAACGTTTGACGTCCATTTTATTGGTGATTGCTTTGCAGGTGGCATTCATACACAGGGTTCAGCAAGCCCAGATCAGCCGTGGTCATGCAACTCCTCAGGACAGTGACAGTGACCTGGAGAGGGAGTTGGGGGACACCATTCCCGAGAGGAGAGTGCCCCGACTTTATTGAGCCGCTGCAATGCTGTATCGAAGGCTTTTGGTATCGGTATGGTATCATCGTCCTGGATGATGAAAAACGACCTGGCTGCTGGCTACAGGGTCAAACGATCCCACTGCACTGGAGCTGGAATCATGAACTCATCACCACCCAGATGTCACCCCCGGGTGACGTCGCCCGGATCCGAACTGAACTTCTGAGGCACGCTTCTCACGGCGGCCCTTCCGACCGGACGAGGATCCCTTCGAGCTGCCGCTCGGGAACCGGGACCTGGACGATGGAGCACTTCCCATGGACGACTTCGAGGAGGAGTGGAGTGGATGTGGCGAGGAGGGGGGGGACGTATCAAAGGAGTTGGGCCGGGCCTGGTGCTCAGACCTTGGTGGTACATGGTGGGACGTGAGTTTGTTCAAATTTTATTGATAGCGCAGAACTCCCGTCATGATTCCAACTGCAGGTGCCAGCTTCCCAAATGGTACGTACCTAATCCTCTTTGGCAAACACCTAAGCCACATGTTTGTAGGTGGGAATTTCCCCATATTTCCCGGTTCCATCGGGTTCCTGCGCCCCACGAAACTGTGCCTTCGATCCCCAAGCGGGCTCTTTGGATCAGGAGAATGTCTCATGGCCTTTGCCGGAGCTCGCGCTCGGTGGTGGACAGCCTTCGCTGGCACCAAGCGAAGAAGGCAGGCATCCACGTGGTTGACCGTCCGTGTGAGTGTGGGTGGGTGGGAGGTGAGGGTGAATTACTCTATTTTGATGTGTTTTGATTGTCCTCAATCATATCTGAGTCTTAAGCATGGGTGTTGTACTTCTTTTTGTGTTCTTTTAAGTGCTCGGTGGAGTTTCTGTCGAACACAGCCGAAGGATGGAGCCCTTTGTGATTCGCCCATGCGACCAAAATTGCAGTAAGTAATATCAGAGATGATTTGTGCTTTGATGGGTAGTGTTCTTGTTACTAGTAGCTTCCCTGTTCCTAGGAGCTACGTTCGTAGCGTCTTTGCTCCTGGTAGCGATGCCCTTTGTTACTAGTTCTTGGGCCTTCGCACTCCAAGGTGATCCCTTTGGTGACTGGGCGGAGCTGCCGCCGGCTGTGGCCGCCTCCTTTGGTGCGAGCAGCCCGGGCGGCTCGAGCGGTTCAAGCCGGTCGTCAGCGCCCACTTCACCGCAGAGGGTCATGCAGGATGGAAGTGGAGGGAGTTGGGCGAGTGAGACGGACCTGGACTAGGTCTGACCAGGTCCAACTAGGTGGACATCACAATCAGCGTGTTTGAGTGTTTTGATTTGGGTGCCAGGCTGTTGGAGAGACTTGAGTGCCAAACTGTTGGAGAGGATCACGGTTCGTTGGTCTGCAGAACAGTCCAAGATATCTCGCGACTGATCCAACTGTGCAACGCTCGGTAACACCTGGCCACACCTGGCCACACGTCAACCGACCAGGTGGAAGCACCTCAGCCGCGAGAAAGGGGCAAGAAACATTTCTGGCCGCTCGGGATAGCAGTCGCAATGAGCAGTCGCAATGAGGAGCTGTTCAGTTTCTTGTTTGTTTTCTGGGGCAGGTACGCTGGTGCGGGAGACTGCCTCATGTTGGTTGGGAGAGGCTACAGCGTCCAAACCGTTGCACAAATCAGAGACCACCTCTGCCAGCTGTCCCGAGGTATGGAATGACCAGAGAAGAGATCAAGGAGAGCGAAGTGACAGGGTTCGAAGTGGCTCAACGGGTTCGCGGGTGACATTTGGTGGCTGAGCAGATGATTTGGTGGTTTTCAGCTCATGATTTGGTGTTTTTGACCCCAGGGGAAGAGATTGAAAAAACGTCATGCAGGAGAGTTGTTCCGCCGCACGATCGAACATCCCAGCCCGATTCCAACACCCTTGGAGCCAAATCAATCGTTTTTCCCAATATCCTAGGAGTCACCCTGGGATTTTTGGATCACCCTGTCCATGGGATGTCCCCTGCGAAGACCCCCACTCATGCACTTGTTTCTCGGGGTCCTCACCAGCCTCACCTTGTTCAGCTTTCCACTCCGAGGAGGCCAAAGCGCAGGGTTCCCGCAGCCCGAAGCGGTCGAAGCCTGAAGGGGAAGGCGCGGCCGGCGGCGCATGGACAGCTTTGGAGGTTTTCTTTTCAAGTATGACAAGCAGATACAAGTAGGACGAGGTTTGGAGTATGTCGGTGAGTTCAGTGAAATCACCCATGT